TCTACTACTTCATGAGGTGAAAAACTCAGTTCTGAGTTACCACAGGGGAAGTAAACCTGCTACTGCAGGAGCACAGAACTAGCCATGCTCTCTGAAATAATGCTCTCTCTCCTTCCTCTTGGGGAAACACTCCCCAGTACACAGCTTTGCTTGAGGTGTGGAGCAGGGCTCTAGTAACACAACATACTTTGTGTCCCAGTATTAGAGTCTCCACAAAAACTTGAGAGCTGTTCACTGTTAACATGACTCCAAACAGTGAGTATAAACAAAATGCACCTTACCTCATGGATTTTGTTTGGGATTATTTTCCCTCAAACATTCTACATGGAAAACCCCAGAACTGGTGATTAGCATAGCTCCCCTCTTTGCAAGGGCTGTTGTCAATATTGGGCAGGAGGATACTATTCCCCCAGTGAATTGCTTAGCAGAAGCAGTGTCTAAGCACACAAGAAACATCTGCAAAATCTGTCCAAGAGCCAAAAAGGGATTTTGAGTTGTGAGATTGGTAGACCCTGTTACCCTGTGACCAAGTTTTCTGAAGCAGCACAAATTTCCCTGCAAAACTATAAAGTTGAAACTGACTCCTTACAAAGTCAAAAATGCATAGAAAATCTAATGTTATGCTCTCCCCTTTCTTCCCCCATTCCTTGTCTAATATATTTGCTGTTTCCAACTGTAACCAGTTTATAGCTGTTTTCCCAGCACTCAATGCTCTTGCACACCACCAGTCTCACACAACTGGGAAACATCTTGTGATGGGCTGGACTGTACCTGTACTAAAATACTGGAGAGCTCTCCCTTGCAGTAGGACAAGCTGGCTGGCACAGGGGGCAGGTTTGCACACCCCAGCACTCAATGCTCTTGCACACCACCAGTCTCACACAACTGGGAAACATCTTGTGATGGGCTGGACTGTACCTGTACTAAAATACTGGAGCTCTCTTGCAGTGGGACAAGCTGGCTGGCACAGGGGGGAGGTTTGCACATCTGGTGGGCTCTAAGCTGATTGGGATTTCTGCTGTCCTTCAATAAGACCTAAGCAAAGCAGCTCAATGAAAAGTGCTTACAGTTGTTTTCAGGAAGGGAAAGCACAGCAGACCTAAGCGTGCAGTGACAGAGTTGAAAATGTACTTACACATTCAGTGATGGGAATAAACACTCAGCAGGGTCTCTTGAAATGAGATTTTAAATAGCATCTGAATTATGGGACTTGCACTTACAGCTCAGGTGCTTTTACAGTTCTGCACTCAAGTCTGTGTGCACAGGCAATTCCACACCTTCCTGAATTCATCCCCTTGGCTGTTCAGTTCTCACTAAAATACACAGCAAAACATGCAGTGATTTCAGGCACACACCATTTCCCCAGCTACATCTGGTCAACCAGCCAGCTCTCTCCAACCCCTTCCCCAACTTTTAGTCAGGACACAGCTCACCCAAGCTCCTCCATCTGAGTATTGTAATGTAAATTGGTACTTAATGAAAAGACACCAAAATATCCCTCACAAGCTACTGTCAATTCCAGCCACTGATCAGGGTGTGTAGAAAGCCACCAAATCTTCAGTTCCTAGGCCTTGCCCTCCTTGATATCTGAGCAGCACAGCCTTTGAGACTTAAAGGAGCACCTGTATGTCTGCATGGATGGGGCTCTGGTAACTGGAGGGACAGAGGGACCAGCCCTGTCAAAGCCTTTTCTTTACCCCTAAATGACAAGTATTACAGGGTTAGTCTTTTCCCTAAATTCAAGTAAGAAAGCCAGTTACTTACATGGAACATTGCAGACCTGAGCTGAAATTAAACTTTGAGGTGAAAGTAAAAATTATTTTATTGATCTTGACTAAAAAAATTATGTTCACCACCTCAGTTTCCTTTATTCTGGTGCAATACAACTGGATGCTATCTTGAAATGAAATTTCCCCACTAACATTAGCCCTTCATGTACACAGAAGTACCTTCATTTTGTTCAAGCACTTAGTCACTATAGCATTTCCATTTCACCCTCATTTCTTTCCCCTTTTTCACTGGAAGAAGCATTTTTTCCCCATCTCAGTTCAGGTGGAAATCTGACTTATGGCTTTCTCAGATAAGTGAAAAGCGAGTCCCAGTGGAGGCCTGATAGATCCTGGGTGAGTAGGATGGGGAATGAAGCAATAAGCATTGAAGATGGCTGCATTGAGGTCACACTGCCTATCTTACAAGCAGGGAAGCAACAGTGAGCAGGCTGCATCCTGGATTGACCCCTTATTGCATGTCATTGTTAATTTTCTGACACCCCTTGAAACACTCACTTAAGACCTGTGCACATGCCCCCCTGTCTGAGGGTGGCATTACCTCAGTACCTGCTAATCATTGTCCCTGTACCCTGCAGTGCCTCAACACAAAAGCATTATGGTAATGCAAGACCTTGGCTGCTCTTATTAGCTCACAACAGATTGCAAGCCCAGCTTTGGAGACCTGTCAGCTGAGCAAACGAAATCTGCCTTACCAAAGTGCAAAGCATAAAAAGAGAGGAAAACAAGGGTGAACATCAAGTGTGAGATGATTCCATATTGTAAATCTTAACACAAAAAGGCTGCTCCTACTTATAGCTAACAGGCTTTATTACTTAAAGAGACTGAAAGCCCCATCAGTTTGCTTCTGCAGTTACCTACAACAGATTGCAAGCCCAGCTTTGGAGACCTGTCAGCTGAGCAAATGAAATCTGCCTTACCAAAGTGCAAAGCATAAAAAGAGAGGAAAACAAGGGTGAACATCAAGTATAAGATGATTCTATATTGTAAAGCTTAACACAAAAAGGCTGCTCCTACTTACAGCTAACAGGTTCTGTTACTTGAAGAGACCGAGTTCTCAAGGAAAGCCCCATCAGCTTGCTTCTGCAGTTACTCTCAAAGTGGTAAAGCAAGTACCAACCTCTGTCTTCTGGGGAGTTTCCTTGGCCAATTCTAAATGAGGCCACTATCTGCCTCACAGGAGGGAGATACAACCATTGCAAGCATATTCAAGAGATGCAGCCAAACATTCCCATCTCCCAGGGTGTGAGGGACATTCCTTTTACTCTCCTAGGCAAAGGAGGAGCTGTCCCTTCTGCTGTGTGTTTGGGGCACACACATCTCTTGCTATCACTGTGCCACAGATGACTCCACATTGTAGCTGCAGCACTGCACAGCCTTCCCCTCCTCCTCCCTGTGTTTGAGGAACAGAAGTGCACAAAACTGCATTAACTTAGCAAGACTGTGGAAGATAAGAGTATCATAACATTTACAAAATGGATTCCAGGTTGCTAAACCTGTACATGAAGTGCAGTTATAAACCCTTTTCTCATCTGTTACTCCTGGGCTGCAGTCAACAATGAGAAAAGTTCTGTTTAAGGAGGCAAGAAGCAGAAAAAATCTCTCATATTTTACCTAACTCATTACTTAAGTCTCTTGTCAAACAAGAGACTTAGAAAAAAAGTCTTTTTTCCCCTTTCTACTTCCTTCCTACCCCCAGATATGCATGATACACAACAAGTTCCAGTCCTGTTTGCTAAGGAAAGCTTGAGATGTCTGCAAAGCTTGCATGCCAGCTTCTGAGGGCAAAGGCTGGCACAGCTACAGAGCCTGCTCTGTTGCTGCAGGACAGATACTTCTTCCTCCCTAGGTGGTTAAGAAATATTCAAACCATTCCAATTCTATGAACATAAAGTAACACTACGTAAAATTCAACTAGAACTGCTACAGTAAATTTGTATTAGGATACAATTTAATTAAACACTTAAGGGATACAAAACATTTCTGTGCAAGATGTGTTTCTAATTTGTGCTATCTGTAACTGGCACTGTTACATTCTGTTGAAGGAATGCCAAAATCATTCCTAAGAGGCAGGATGCTTACACTTAGTAGTAGTGTCTAGTTCTGCTTGCTGCAGTACTGCAACTGCCTAACTATAAGGTTATCCTGGCAGCCTCAGGAGCAGTGAAAGGAAAAAGCCCAGCTCTGTGTCATGAAGGTTACAGCCCCCAGTTCTCTAAAAAACACCTGATAAACAGGACAATTCATCCTGGACGTAGCTGTTGCCTCAGCACCATGCCAGCCATTTTTAAGATTCCCTAAATGCTTGCCCAGAGAGAGAACTGATGTCTGGCAGGCAGGGTTCAGATACTACCTCATCTTATGGCCTTAACTCAGCAGCACCATAAGTGCCTATTGGCCACAAAACAGGGCTCTGCCTCATCACTTCACTGTGTCAGTACAGCAAGAGTGCCAGTGCTCACCAGCAAGCTGTGGGAATGCCTAATCCTGCCCCACAGATTCCAGCAGGATTTGTGCCATCAGCTTCAAGAGGTGCAGCATCAATCAGCTAAAAAATAGCTTTTTCACAGACAGGTAGGACTGGAGCTATTTCAAAATTGCAGCAGGTTTCTACTGGCCTTTTTAGGTGATGGGCTCCTTTAGAAAACTGATCCTTGCCCATTGGACTGTTTTTCCTCTGAGAAAATGGATGCCACTATAGACCTAACCAGTTTTTCATTTTCACTCTTGCCACAGTCACAACTCTGAATATGCTGCTATTGCTGAGCCATTCAATCCTGATGCTGGCTGCTGAATCAGGGCCTAGAAAAACAATCTGACACACAGAGCTTTGTCAGAGTGGTAGGAAGAGGCAAAGCAAAGAAATCCTGACAAATACTAAAGGGATCTAAAGGTGCCAATAGTTATTGAAGCTCTGTGAAAAATACTTTTAACAAAGTAGGGGGGTTTTGAGTCATGTAACACATAGATCAATTGACATTTAACTGCATGGATGAGTTATCCCCAGATATTGAATGCTGTACATTGTAGCACTTCAGTATCATTCCTCAAAGAGCAATAGTGAGGGGAAACTCATTTTTGCCCCTGGTGCAGCAGCATTCCTGCTAAATCCATCAGTATTTGTCTAAAAGAGGTGGCTTCACCTAATATGGTCTAAGTAAGTCTCTGTCATTTATTTAGATATCTGGGAGAATCTACAGTCTAGACTCCTACATGGAAATCCAGTTTAGTGGCTACAAAAAAGATGACACTTCTGGGCAAGGGAAGCATATTCCATCTCAGAAAGCTCAGAAGACAAGAATGGTTGGAAGCATGCCACTGGAGAAAGTTACTCATTGGACTCAGCAACAGTTGGAGACATTATTACAATTTCTTCTGGACAGAATTCTGGAAAAGTAAAAGTAACACTTATTAATGACTGATTATTCATACACTGATTCTCTATCCCACAGATTTACTCTCTATCCCTCACTTCCTCCACCAATTCAGAACTGGCTGCTTCTAGGTCCCTTCACAAAGGCCCACAAAAGCCCAGGAGCATTCTCCACAACCCTGACACCTGGACCACTCTCCTGTATTTCTCCATCTTGCCACTTCTGTCTGCACACCATGTAAGAGCCCACAACTTGCTGCTCTGCTGGAACAGATGAGTTTCTCCTCACTTGTTCTGCTCATTTTTCATATTTCATTTCATGTGGATCTAAGTTTTTGCCTGTCTGTAAATATCCATGGGTGTCTGCCACTACTCATCAATAGTTTCCTGATAGTTGTTTTTAAAGCAGAATCTGTTTGATTTGTGAAGTGGCTAATGAGTGATTGAATGCATTCTATTTGGAAGACACAGCGAGTACAAGCCAACCACCAGGGCTGGCTCAAGGCTTCTTATCAGCATGAGCAAACTACCCTGAGGATGAAGTGCACACATTACACACAGAGCTGGCCTTTTCTGCCACAAAAAAGTGAGCAGGATCCAGCAAAGGCTCACATGACCCATTTTTCCTGAAGTAGCTGCTGTTTCAAGACTTTATTGTTTCATACATTCTCATCCCCTTTGCTGGCAGCAGCAGCTGCCAGGCTGGTTTTCAGGGCTTTGCCAGAGCCCATTCTGCCATCCCTATTGCTGTCTCCTTTGCCTGTGCCTGGATCTGGCCTTGCCAAGCACTGAGAGATTAGCCTCATTCAAAAGTAAAGAAAAATCCCCAAATCAGCTCTGAGTTCTACCTCTGCCTACACTTTCACCTCACTAGAAATTATTTATCTATAAATAACCTTGCCTGCAAAGTTGAAACAAAATTATGAGCAGTATATGTCAGTTCCCACCTCGAGTTTAACTCTGACTGAAATCTGCTGCATTGTGTTAAAAGAAAAAAACCAAAACACCTCTGCCCAAGTCACCAAGGTCACTACTAATTGCTTCTCTTTGGTAAATGAGGTAGGCATGTACATGCACACACATGCCCACAGACACCTACTGCAGTCAAAAGGCAAAGAACTTGCTTTGTGCTTTATTTAAATTATCAAATTGTTGCAAGTGTACTTGAAACAAAATACAAACACTAAAGCCTGCTATGCACAATGCAGGTTGCAGAATGGCATGTAAAACCTAAGAATGACACCAAGTTCCAATCAGGATACACACCCCAGTGAAGTCTCAGTTCATGCTTCATAATTAAAAAAGATGTACTACACTTAAGAAATCCCTCAACACACTTCATGAGCACAAGGGTAGAGTGATATAAGAGAACTTGCACTGCTCCCATGCTTTGGGATACATTTTTTCTTAGCAATTGACCACAAAATGTGTAATAGTGCATGCTCATATGCAATACATTCCAGCAAGTAAAACATCAGGGATTTATCCACACAAAAGCTCCAGATCTCTCATTCCCCCTTTCTGCAAGATAAGGAGGAGGAGCATATAGCACAATGAAGACTAACCCATTCTGGAAGGAATGCAGGTCTGCACTAAACAGTGAATTTTGCTCTTGAGGTCATAAATACAATCCAAAACGAGCAAATAATTTTGTAGAATTCATTATATCTGTAGGAAGAAATCCATGGGTCCATTTTCCAGAGTTGGGACAAGCTGTCTCAGGCCCAGCCTTGCAAAGCATTCAGCTGTGGGAAGGAAGGGGTGGCTTGGCAGAAACAGTAAAGCTGGTCAGGGAGTAAGGGAAAACTGCCAAATACACAAGCCCTGATTACAATTAGTAGATTTAAAGACTCTTCTGTTATGAGATCTCTAGAATGAAAAAGAAAAGGTTGGGGAATGCTTAGCCCTGTTCTAGTGGTATAGCTGGGTACATGAACTGCTCCAGGGCACCCCAGCTCATTTGCATTACAAGCAGCACAAAAGCAATGGACACGGCCCCTTCCAGGGAATAATGTCCCAAGAAGGGGGTAGATGGCAGCTCAGGGCTGGCAGGGGGGCTTCCTAGAGAAATAGAGGGGACCTGTGCTTGAAGCAGAGCATGGAAGAAGGAGCAGTGCCAGCCATCCTTGACTTCCCACCACCCAGCAGGAGATGGGACAACTGAACATAAATGAGGCCAACCCCGAGTGCTAAAACATGCCCCAAAACCAGAAAGTCCAAAGGTGTCACACAGCAGGGCATAAAATCTAGAGTCATGGCTGATTTATGTTGCCCTCAGATCTCAGGCATGCTTCAAGTGGTACAGTTCTCATTAGTAACTGCTGTTGTAATTTTTAAAAGGCTGTTCAATCATTATTGACCTAATACATCAACAAAAGACCACAACAATTAAGAGATTTATCAATGAAGTCACAGAAAAGGCAGCTTACTTTCAAAACAGCCTAAGATAAGAATTCATAGGACACAAAAAAGATGTACTGATCTATTTTTATAGAAATATAAATGACATGGAATATTTTATTAATTATGTGCTGTCTGTGCTCTCTTACAAAGAGTACAAATTTTTCATTTTGCTGAGGGAAAATTAATTTGCTATTCCCATGGCTAAAAAGACAATTATATATGAACCTGACAATCATAATCAGAAATTATTAATTACTTGGTTGAGACTGTTATTCTTATAAACCTGGTTTCATATGCATGAACAAAATGACGTGCTCTGATTAGAGCATGAAGCAGAAACAACAGCACTAGCACAAATGTCTAGAAAATGCCTCTGCAAACAAGAATGCTGCAAGATCTAGACATCACTTCAGTTAAATAGAGGCCATCCTGATGTGCACAAAGAACATGCACACAGGTAGAGGTTGCTTGCTCAGCACTGCCAGACAAGGACTCCACATGCACACTTACCCTTAAGACACATTATGCAGAATTATCAATTATGTATAATTGTAGTCTCCTACTTAATGGCAGAAGTGGCTCCTCTCTTCCCACACAGACCTTGTAAAAGCCGATCTACTTCATCAGGTTTTTATAATGTTGCATTTTTCACCCATTTAGATAGCACTGATAAACTGACCTAAGACTTTATTGGAAAAGACAGATTCTCAAAAATCTACTGCCTTTATGGTAACTCTTTTTATCCTCCAAGTTACCCGCTGTCTAGTTCTATGCAACCACTTTGTTTATGGAGCAAAATTTTGCCCACATACTGCCATCTCCTTCAGAGCTCAAGGCTATTCAAAGCATTGCCACCAGCTACAAGGAAGAAGTTTCCTTATATTTTGCCCTCTCCCTTATTTTTCCCCTCAGATTTTACTATTTGTCATTAATACAGTAAAATACCATTGAGCAAGAGCCCTGGCATATTTCTACCACATGAAACTTACGCTTTTATGTACATACACTGCTCAACAAAAAGGAAAAAAGTATTTTTGCTACTACTGTTTGAGCAGGTTTGAGGATTTGGTTCACTAAAACAAAACAAAAAAAAAAACCCAGAAAGACACCCAACAGGAATACAGCTATCTGGAAAGACACCCAACCAGGATCTCAGGTGTGTGAAAAGTTAGTTTAAACTAAGGCCAGTAAGTGCTATAGCAGAGCCCTTGGCAGGGCTTCCCTCTGGCTGTGGAAAAGGCCAGGATCACAAGCCTGTGCAGTACACATGAGCCCACCTGCCCCTGCTCACAGCTCAGTGCTCACCTTACCCTGAGTGCAGCACCCACTCCAGCTGTTAAGCATCAAGGTACAAGGACAAGGGAAAGCACCAGAAACAGCCAGGAAGAAACAGACTGAGGAATCAATGTAAGCAGCTTCCTGACAGCACAGATGACAAATGCCTTCCTGTACTCTGACCTACCACATGCCTTATCTTAGAAGTAACCATCCCAAAACACAGCTCCATTTTCCTGTGATTTCATTCCTTGGCTCTCCAGAGGAGATCAAGAGACACAGCAGTGCTGGCGGCCTGCACAAGCCTGGGGCCATGCCATGGAAATCCCAGTGTGGCCATAAAGAGAACAGCAACTGAATGGGAAGCAGAGGAAGGAACAAAGCTTATCTAGTACTTCAGCTCCTCAAACCCCACGTGTTACTGACAAGTACAACTTCACAAAAGGAAGGCCTTGTAAAACCATGGCTCAGGCCTGTTACTCTGGCTAAGTAGAAAAGGACTTTGGGAAAGAGACTCAGCTGAATTAGAGGTATAAAACCAAGTTATATAACCACCATGTGTTCACATCGTGATGTACGGTGGTTGGTTGAATTATGTTTGTTAAGCTTCAAAGCTACATAACTGATAATGGGCTGACTGCCTGAAAAGGCCTGGTTTTTTGCAATAAAGCAGCTCCCCTTGGCATCTGCCTGGGGACTCTGCCTCAGCATGGACCCTCACCCAAGCAGTGCTAAAGTAGCACTAAAGTAGCACACAGCCCCAGAGCAGATACTTTAGGATGGTTTTGCTTGAGTGAAAAGTTTGCAAATAAAAATTGATTTGGAAGAGTTACACTGCTGGTACACAGGGAGTTTACCCTATGGGCCCAGATGTTTGTTTTATTAAACACACACATTAGAGGAGACTTGCAATAAAGAATAGTGAGAATGACACCAATTTTTCTTTGGCAGAACTCCAGCAGGAAATAATCCTGTGTCAGCTACAGCTCTGTCCTCTGGTACCACAGAGATTCAATGCACATGTTGGATTCATTTAAATACATCCAAGTCTACGTTTCATTTTTTAAAGACTTTTCAGCTAGAAATCATAAATAACCAATAATTCTGAAGAATATAACAAATTGATAAAAATGGGGCACAGTTCTTACCATGCATTGAAAGAGATCATACAAGGAAAAGGAAACAGAGTTACATGTCTTCAAACAAATAATTTAGATAAAATGTAGTATTAGGTAAGGTGCTAACAACATCTCTCATTTTAAAGGTAAAGATTGTTGTCCAACACTGAATCACCCTAGTTAAAGAAACCATAAAAATTACTCTTTATTCCGGAAACAGAGTTAATGTATTGTAACATCTGGTGATCCAGGGAAACAGCAATGCATTTCCTAAAATACCTGGCATTGTTCCAGTGCTTTATCAGCATCCTGAAAATACAGGCAATTGAAAAAATACTCATTATGGCTGCATGATATGAATTTCAGACAAAGCAAAAAGTTCAGCATAATTCTATACAAGTCACATCCAATTTGGATCACACCATGTAATAGCCAAGCAATTTAGAAGGCTGAATTGTGGTTTTAAAACTGCAATAGTTTTTTCATGTGAAATTTGTACAGCAAACTTTATGTTCTGGATATGGACAAGAAAACAAGAGAGTGTCAGACTTTAAAAAAATCAATACTAATTTAGTAGGTGTTTTTGAAAACAAACCTGGCAAAGCATGTACACTGCTACTCAGGAATCCCTGTATTAAAGACTCTGTATTACTTACTGTTCATATTGAGAATTATCACTTGGATGGATGTGGGTTTGTGAACAACAGTCCTCATGCTCATTTTCTGATCCTTCTTAGAGCATTCTTGAAAACCTGGACGTGTTCATCAGACCAGAATGTAGCTCAGCTGCAAACAGAAGTGTTAATGAGTTTATCAGAAGCCACAGAGATGCATAACTAAAAGGCCACTTGGGCTCCCTTCTGAGGGACAGCATTCCAGAAAACACTGCTGGTAGGGAATGAGAATTTTTCTGATGACACAAATAATCAGAAAATCTGGCTGCTCAATGCAGCCAGACACACTGACTACAGGATCAATTTATGACCCTGCCACTGCAGGTGCTGTGTCAGACACAACTGTGAGGGATGCTACTCTGGTTCTTGGCTCTCCTGACCTCCCACACCATCAAAACTGTGTCCCATTACCTTTGCTAGGACTGACATTTTCTGTGGTAACTCAAGCTGAATTAAAATCCTACCCTTCGTTCTCTTGTAGCTGTTCCCTTGAAGTTTAGGTACCAAAATACTCTTTCTTTTCTGCAGTCTTGGTCTTGAATGTTCCTTACCAATAGTGTCAACCCTGTACATTTATTCTCTCATTTAGGAATAGCTGAGGGTTTTAGTAAAGCTTTAGCTAGTAAAGAGGGGCTCAAAGAGAAAATTAAAATACCCATTAGAAATTAATCAGCTCAGTATCAGAATAGCAGAGATCAGCTAGAGAACTAACTGGATTCACAAATTAAAGCTAAAAAGACACTGGAGAGGGCTACAATGGATTTTGAAAAGCATAAAGTTATAATAATCCAGAGAAGAGTACAAAAACCCCAAATAAATTAGTAATCTTTCTATGAACACCTAAAGAGATGTCAAGCAGAGCAAAGAAAAAATTTCAAACGAAGAACTTACAACTTCAATAATATAAAGTCTAGATTACAACCCACTTGTTTATTGCAACTAAAGAGAGGGGAACAAAAAGAACCCATCTGAATTAGAACCACAAGCCTGGACTGGGTCCCTACAGAAACTGCCTCATAAGACTGGTAGGATACCAAAACCAGCTACACCAAGAAACTTGAATACTCCCTAGTCCAAGGATTTTAACAAAAAAAAGAACCCAAACCAACACCAAAAACCCCCAAAAAACCAAAAACCCCAAACCAACCACAAAACAAAACGCCAACCAAAACCACTCTCAGCAAAACAAGAAAAACCCCAGAAGCCACCCTACAGTACACAAACAAGAGTTACAAGACAGGCATCAGGAGAACAGACAAGTTCAACAAAAACCCCAAATTTCTAGAGAAACTTGCATCAATAAAGCAGAGCCAAAAAACCTCCCATCCAGGACTGACCTTATATTGAGCACCTGGGCCACGTGGGCAGGGGTGTGGGTGGAAGCCCCAGGTGAGGTTGGTCAGGGCCACTGAGGACTGTGAGAGCCCTCAGAATCACCACCTCCCATCCAGGACTGACCTTATATTGAGCACCTGGGCCACGTGGGCAGGAGGTGTGGGTGGAAGCCCCAGGTGAGGCTGGTCAGGGCCACTGAGGACTGTGAGAGCTCTCAGAATCACTCCCACCTGCAATGCTAAAGTAATACTGGCAGTGCTGAGCTTTGCTCAGTATTCCTTACCAAGGATAAATCTGACTTATTATAAAGGTCACTTTTATAAATGTCTTCAATATACCTTTCTGAACTGTCCAGTGTAATTGTTAAAATAGTCTTGTCACACACAGAGAATCTAGTTTACAGGCTTGGGTATGATTTAGGCTACATTTTAATGGACTTATTCTGAGACAGTGATTTAAAATGTATTTGACATGACAGATGAGAAAATTGTTTCTAACGTACTTCATTGCACACAGACTGCTTCACCCAAAACATCAGTAAATATGCCAGTGCTGCTCTCATCCACAGGATATTTTGAGGGCCAGAATGTTAAAGTAGTTGTTGTACCAGGATTAACAGAGGGCTGTGAACAAGTATGACAGCATTTAGGGATGGTTTGGGAGGGTGCTTCATGACTGTTTTGGGAGATCATTTAATGTCTGTCTCCTGACCTGTGGGACAGGAAAACCACTAGAGAACATCCCTGATGTTCACACACCGCACCCACTTTGAAGAAGGACATTAGATTGTTGTAATTCTTTCTCTGATAAAACACAGCCTAAAGTTCGTTTTGGGGTTTGGTAATAAGAAGATGGAAAGATAAAGTGTTAGAATCACTGGGATGGCAGGAAAAGACAACTTTAGAAGTGAAGTCAGGTGCCCAATAGAATGCCTTACTTTCAAAATATTCTCTGAATACAAATAAAACTTAGAATTATTACTGAAATTAAAAAAAAGCTGGATCCTCACATGACAGATTGACAGAATATTTAATTTATTATTGCCCAATAGAATGCCTTACTTTCAAAATATTCTCTGAATACAAATAAAACCTAGAATTATTACTGAAATTTAAAAAAGCTGAATCCTCACATGACAGATTGACAGAACATTTCATTTATTACTGCATTAGTTTTATCAAGGATTCTTACTGCAGAATACAGGCATGTGTTCAGACCACCTTGTATTTGGTTTGATGCAAACATAGGGGGGAAAAAAAAAGCTGGTTTGCCCCAAAGCAAGTCACCAGCTGGGCACAAAGGGAGACAGTAAATGTGTCCAGACACAGAGATGTATTGGGAGGAGCAAGACACAGAAAGGATACCTGGGTAGCCTGGTCTTGACACTGCACTCCACATTGTAGGGAAATTTTGTTCTTTGGGATTGGGGGTACTTTCACTGACATTTTGCTGAAATCTCTTTGCAGACATTTCAAAGGAGTTATTTGGAGTTCAATGCAGCACAGAGATTTAAACAGCTTTCCTGTGAGCTGAGAGGAAACAAGAACACAAATGACAAGGGCAACAGACTGGAATTGTGGCCTTGCATGTTACTATGTAAGAGAACACACAGGTTAGGAAAAGGTTTAAAACTGAAGGCAGAAAAAGGTAATGCGATCAAAAATAGCCATGGTGTACAAGAAGTTTCTCTTGATGCAGTACTGCAGCCAGGAAATAGGATAATACTGCATGAAGAGAAGAATGAAATGTATCGTTATGTATTTTTTTTAGAGGGAAGTTTAAGTTGTATGCCACACAGGAAAAACCACATTGTTGGAAGCTTATCATCATGGTAGTAAAAGGCCAGGAAAAAACCCAAACCAAACAAAAAAGCCAACAAATCAAAACACCCCAAACTGCTCTTTATGTAATTATTATGGCTGTTCATAGGTAACTCACATGTGCAAAAGTACCTCTAAACCACAAAAAAAAATACTTTAGTTATCACTTCTTTTAATAACTGGTTGGACAGTATCTCTTTAGTAACAGATGATAACAATAACTCATTGTAAAACTTATAATATTGTCAAGTTATAAGGTAAATCCTGTGTAGCCTCTATTTTAGTTAACAGAGCAGACACCTCTTATCTGATAAAGCTGGCACAGCTCAGGGTAACAAATTAGGGATGTTGAAATTGTGATGCTTTTAATTCTGTAGGGTGGGTGTATAAAGTAATCTGGTTGGGTTTTACAGACTGCCTTGAACATGCCCAGCAAGTGCACTGATACAAGCTGTGTAGCTGTGTTGGACTGTGTCACCATGCACTGAGTTTAGTGTCTCAAGGTTAATTTGCTGGAGCAAGATTACTCTGAAAGGCAAAACCAGCTGTATACTAATGCAGCTCTTTTAAGCTGGTTACAAGTTAAAATATTTACTAATGACTGTACTTCAGCTAAATCAGGTGAAATTATTTTAACTGCATGACTTCCAACTGTTGCAGTTTTACAGAGGCCCCAGTATGTATGGCACTAATTCATGTAAGGGACCTAAACTGGAGTAGGTATTTCTTTTCTCATATTTGTATCAATATATTACGGTGAAAGGCATTTACACAACTCTAGAACTGTTCAAATGATACAAGCTGTGTAAGGGACACCCTGAATCTCCTCTGCTGCTGCAGCAGTTCATGCTGCTGGTGTTGGACCCTGGCCTGTGGCCAGCAGGACAAGGGGTGTGATTCCTCCCCTGTGCTGTGCACTGGTGGGGCCACGCCTTGAGATGTGTCCTGTTCTGGGCCCCTCATTCAGAGGGGGTATCGAGGTGATGGGGTGGGTCCAGAGAAGGGCAATACTGCTGGGGAGAGTGGAGCACAGGTGCTGTGAGGACAGTGAGCGTGTTTAGCCTGGAGGAGGCTCAGGTGTGACCTTACCACTCTTCACAACTCCCCGAAAGAGGCTCTAGCCAGGTGGGGGTCGTGTTCTTTCCCCAGGCAACCAGTAATAGGAAAAGAGGACACAGTCTTAAACTATGCCAGGGGAGGTTTTGGTTGGACATTAGGAGAAATTTCTTCACATAGAGGGTGATTAGAGACGGGCTGCCCAGGGAGGTGGTGGAATCACCATCTCTAGAGACGTTCAAGAAACGCTTCACATAGAGGGTGATTAGAGACGGGCTACCCAGGGAGGTGGTGGAAGAAACTTCTGGCACCACTCAGCGCCGCGGTCTGTTTGACAAGCCGGTGTTCAGTGTTAAGCTGGAACTCGTTTACCTCAGTGGTCTTTTCCAGCGTAATGGATTCCGTGACCGGGAAGCGCCCGGCACGCCGCGCTCCGGGCCGCTCTCCTCACCTGCGGGCCGCGCCCTCGCCTTTCGGCCGCCCGCCCCCGGCCCTGCCGCGGCCCCGCTGCTGCTGTCCCTGCCCGCCCTGAGGGGCCTTTCCCCTCCCCGAGGGGCTGCTCCGGCTTCCTTCCTCCTCCTCCTTCCCCCGAGGAGCTGCCGTGCCCTGGCATCCGGGCCGCTCTCCTCACCTGCGGGCCGCGCCCTCGCCTTTCGGCCGCCCGCCCCCGGCCCTGCCGCGGCCCCGCTGCTGCTGTCCCTGCCCGCCCTGAGGGGCCTTTCCCCTCCCCGAGGGGCTGCTCCGGCTTCCTTCCTCCTTCTCCCGAGGAGCTGCCGTGCCCTGGCCGCCGCGGTGCCGGGCGGGCAGAGCGAGAACGACGCTACCTCACCGCCTGGGTGAGGGCTGCGGCCGGCGGAGGTGCTTCTCCCTCAGGCCCAGGTGAGGGGGAGCTCCGAGCCCGCAGGTGAGGCGGGCTCTGCTCCCGCCGGTCTCCGGGCGCGGGGCGGGAGCCGCGGGTCCCCCAGAGCGGGCCGGGCCGGGCGGAGGGCGGTGGAGCGGCCCGGAGTGATGACGCGCTTCCTGCCCTCCCCGCCGGGGGTCTGCGCCTGGAGTCCGCAGCGGCGGCGGCTGCGGGCGGCGGCGGTGGAGCCGGCGGGAGCGGGCAAGAGGCGAGCGGGGGGAAGGAAGGAAGCGAGAGAGCGGCGGGGCTTAGGCGCTCCGCAATGCCACAGTAACAGCGTTCCCGGTAGGAGCCCGCGAGGACCCTCGTCCTGCCCCGCCGTTGCACATTGCATAGAGCGTGTGGTCTGTGCGGAGCCGCCGAGAGGGGGAAGACTCGGCGCGGGGCTGAGCGGCGGGAGCGCGGAGCCGCTCGGCTGCCGCGGGCTTCTCGATGCGGGCTGCCTCGGAGCGGCAGCAGCCGCCGCTCGCCGCTCCCGCTTCGCCCCTGCAGGCTCGCCCGCGGGCAGCGCTGCCTGCCCAACAAGTTGCTGCTTACAGGGAGGACAGCAACAGCCCGGCCCACTGCCGTGCGGGCTGAGCCCGGGAAGGGGAGAGCCTCGGCTCACCTATCGTTCGTCAGGAGCCGGGCCGGGATGAGAGGGAAGCAGCGGTCTTTTAGGATTTTCCTGAGCCGTGTATGGCTGGAATAGGAGGCAGGTGCCGGGTCGGCCGGCCCCTCGCATCATGCCTGGGGGAGCGTGGCGTGGCCGGCTCGGAGCTGCGTTTGCCCGGGCAACGGAGCTGCTCGCTGTTGGGCGCTATTGGCGACCTGATGTAGAAAAAACCTTTTCGCAATACGTGCTGAAGTGACGACCTCCCAAGGACGATGCTGCATCGTCTGCATATGCGTGGATCTGTATCTGCGTGTGTCTCTGTCCGCATCTTCCCGCGGGAGCGGTGGAGCGGCTGGCGGGGGCAGCGGGGCGGTCCCGGAGGGCCATCCCGGAGGGGAGGGAAGGACGCGGGCGAGGGTGGGTGGGCGGCTGCTCCGCAGCCTCGCTGCCCTCCGGGCCGGCCCGGGGCGTGCGCGGCTCCAGCGCTCCGGGCTGCCTGCCCCGGTGAGGCTTCGTGCCCAGGACTAGGCAAAGCGCAAAACCTCCCTTGGTGCGAGGCGGCATTGCGTGCTTGCAGCGGGGCTGTCCGCGTCCTGGCTGAGGTTCTGTGTCCCGGTCCCTCTGTTTGTCCCATGCCCTCTTAGCACAGAGCTGTCCCCGCGTGCAGCCTTGCCTTGGGGTGTCTGGAGAGCCCCGGCGCAGTGTCACTGCGTGGGAACACCTTACTGAGAGCTGGCTTTATGCTCACCTTCTGTAGCGCTCTTGTTCTGCTGACCAGCCATTTCAGGTTTTTTAGGCTTTACTTTTTGTGTGTTGAAATGCTGCTATGATGTGTAGTTAGAAAGGTTGTGGGAATGCTCATTGACTGAAAAAACCTCTTGTCAGATTAAACAGTTGTCCGCTTCCCTCCAAATATTTTTAAAGTTTATTTTGTAGACGTATATTGTGGAGCAAAGTTTGAGCCATATTAAATTTCAAGGCAGTTCTGGGTTTGGTTGCTTAGAGGCGTTGAGGAGTTCTGCATTCTCAGAAGAGCCCAATGGCCATGGCACAATGTCCCTATGATTTAAAAACAAAGAAGCAACAAATTTCTGAGATTGCTCTTGCTTATGGAAAACATGACTTATTTGTATGCTTATGACAGTGTGTTTTAAGTAGGAATGCAAGCTGCCAGTGTTAATTAAAAATACCTTACAAATTGTAGTATATGAAAAGCTTTCATATCTCTATGGTGTAATGGTCAGCCATGCTTCCAACAGAACAGCTATTAGACAAGTTAAGTGAGAGTTAAGTTGGCTGAACTACCATTCCTGCTTTAATTTTCATAATGTGACATTTTCCAGGGAGATTCAAGGTTATCATGTAGCTGAGGAGGGAGGGGGAGTGTCTTTTGATTCTTGGAAGTGCATTTCATTTGAGTTTCCTAATGCCTCATTTAACTCACTGGTCACTGCAGAACTAAAGGGTTAAGTGGAATTCTAGCTTATCTATTAGTGACAAAATTATTGAGCTTATGTAAGATAAGAATACTTGTTTCTGGTTGCCAATCTAAGTGAGTTAACTATGGCAAACTTGAATAATTCAAGTTCTGAATCTCAGTATAAAGTTAGATAAAGTCTACAGCCATTTCATATGGGATACCCATTCATTTTACCATTCAGATTACAGGGGTTTATCCTGAAGAATTGTCCTGTGTTTTTGGAGTAACATCTGTTGCATGATATCATGTAATGGAATGTGGTACAGCCTAATTTAAGTTGATTTGAAACGTTGCCATTGCACTGTAGTAGTGCCTGAGAGGGTGAGAGGTTTTGTGGTGTGTGTGATGGATAGATTGGTTACAAGTAGACAATATTGAGGAAGATGAACTTGCATTTGAACTGCAAAGGATTAAGTAATTTACTCTCAGCTTGGTTTGTTTTACAGTCTTACTTAGACTTCTTTCATCAATTGCCAGCTAATGCAATGGCTGAATTCTACTTGTATTAGGAAATCCATCTGCAGTTATAAATATAACTAACAGTACAAAACACCATTACGGTAGCATCCCAGTCTTATTTTGAAGTGGGCTTGAAGGAACTGTCTAGCTGTGACATAGCTTGAACTGCATGAGTCTTAGAAGTTTTGCTGTGAAAACTTTCATTTGTTTGGTATTGTTTCTACAAAGATTTGACTGCACATTGCAAGTATGTTCTGATACATTAATATTTGGATTATCACTTTATATGCTTGCTTATATGATATGTATCTATTAAACTTGTGCAAATGCAATCCAGATGGTTTGCAAAAATGGCAGTACTTAATTAGTCACCACATCTAGACAGAAGTTCAAACAACTCACCTCCATTCTTTTTTGTGGCATTGTAGTGTTAGATAACTGTTGGGTTATCAGTATTGTATTTTCATGAGATAGGAGCAATACCGTTTGTTGTTGAAAGTATCCCTACAATCCATAATTTTAACATTATGGTACTAAAAACACCCTTTGAGTTGATTCACAGCTGCCAGTCCTATCTGACCTTTGGAGATTTTGGTAAGCTGCCAAATATGTAGACATCTTGATACTGGTTTTTTTAAATATGAAGAGTTTCTTGCTAAGCAGTGTTTTCCAGATGCTGCCTTTGCACCAGGCCCTAATTAGGTAGGAAGTGTGAATGTCTTTACAGATCACTGTACCAGCTTTCAGAAGTTCTTTTCTCCTCCCTGCTTTTGAATCTTTAAAATTTTTGGCAAGTCTGCTTATGCATGTTTCTACAGACAATAGAATGCTGAGGCAAATTGAGAACAGCAAGCAAAATGTTGGGTGTTGTTGCACATGGTGGGAGGCTGTCTTAATAATGCAGTGTTGCTTTCATTTGTTTACTTTTGGATTTTAGTGTTTCACATGGGACAAATGGAGATGGAAGTTGCAGTTTTAGGTAGTCCTGAACAAGGATGCAGGGTTTTGCTTCCAGGGTTCTGCTTTTGACCACATAGGGTTATTAAAATACACAATAAATTGAACTGCAAAAATTTTGGGGCAAAGGAGATGCAAATGATAAAGCAGAGAGTTTTTTCAGAGTAGTTTATCTTACAATTTCCAGAGGCTATGTTAAGTAAAATAATCTTGGGTTTTGCAACTCAGTGGATGAGATTATGATTATGGACATCATGCTGCGTCTTAAGCTCTTTTATACTTGATTTTTATTGTTGTGATTAAAGTCTATTCCTTTTATACAAAGATGCCTTGAAGGTAGCCTGAGCTTCTTAGATGTGTAAGTGCTGATTCACAGCATGTGGTGCAATCCTGGGTCTGATCAGTGTTCAGAGTATTGTGCCTTTTGTCTCTGAATGCAGGGAAGTTCCACCTTTGGAGTGAGGCTGGTATGCTTGAGTATGAGAAGGTGGTAAGGAGTCCTGTGCTTAGTTTTAAGACCAGACTTTTAACTGTGTACAATGAATTTTGTAGCCTTCTGTTCCTGCTAATGCTGCTGGAAACCCATTTCACAGTAGTCAGAGAACCATTTCTCTGGGTGTGCTATGTGCACACATGCTTATCTTGGAATTGAGTTTGAATTAGCCTGCATACTTGAAGCAATTGTGATAACATTTTGATATTTTCCACTTCCAGTTGCAAACTGGAATTTCATCCCCAGAGATCCACCCCCTCGATTCTCAAAGCTCCAGCACCTTTTTACTCAAGCATCTTCATAAAGCTAGAAAATGCACTGACTGACTTCACAAGGTGATACAACAGTAAGT